ACTCCGTGTTTCCCTCTTTATTCTTTTTTGCCACTGGGGACAGAAGCCCGGGTCTCATGCATCCTAGGCGCAGGCTCCCCCGCTGGACCACACCTCAGCCCTCATTTCTGCCTTTTTTGTTTTTTGAGACTGGCTGGTCTCAAACTCAGCGATCCCCCTGCCTCAGCCTCCATTATGCTGGGATTATAGGTGTGGGTCACACACCCCGCTCCAAAGTTGTGACATTCTGTCCCCAGATACCCAAGGCTGCCCCCTCTCCTTCAGTGTCAGCTCAGGTCACCTCTTCAGACCATGGCGCCCCCTCTCCCAAGTCACTGTCATCTTTGTTCCCATCTTTCTGCCCATCGAGATGTAGGTGACCTCCGCCTCCTTCTCTGACCTGACCCACAGCCTGGCGCCGGGCCTGGTGTGCAGCGGGTACTTGGTACACTCGGGCTGAGTGGTCCAGGCCGTTTGCAGCGGGGAGCTGTCAGTGTCTTCTCAGGTGCCTGTCGGGTGCCACCGTGACTCAGCTGATAAGGGCAATTTCCTCCTGACTCAGGAAGGACAGAGCCACTGAATAGAGAGCCGGTGAGGCGAGGCCTCCGTCCTTCCTGTGGGTGACTCAGCACACTCAGCCTAGTGAAGTGGTCAGCCTTGCGGGTCAGGCACTCTGGCTCCTTGTCATTTAGCCATGTGACCCTTTGCAGGTTAATCTCATGGGAGGGGACAGGGTAGGGTTAATAGCAGCTGCCTCACTGGGGGTGGTGTCACAGGCCTGTCATCCCAGCTCTCGGGAGGCTGAGGCAGGAGGATCACATGAGTTCCAGGCCAGCAAGACCTGGTCTCAAAAAACCAAAAACCCAGACAAACAGCCACCTCAGACTTGTGAGGTGGGCTGGCACAGTGAAATGTCTCATACTTGAGCTGGTGCCATCATTGTTAGCTATGATGCAGCTCGGTACTGGTGGCTGCAGGCTGGGTTGTTCAGATCCAGAGAGACAATACAGTGTGCTTCTTTGAAGTCAGAGGGGAAGGTGGCGTGCACTTACTAAAGTGGTTAAAGCCCCGTGCAGCAGTGCACGCCTGTCATCCATCCAGGCTGCTCGGAGACCAAAGCAGGAGGGCTGCAAGGCCCAGGCCAGCCTGGGGTACTTAGCAAGACGCTGTCTCAGAGTTGGAAAAAAATAAAACAGGCTGTGGCTGTAGCTCAATGTGAATGTACTGGGTTCAATCCCCAGTATTCCAGGAAAGCAGGAGGGAGGGGTTAAAATGGTTGACTTTATGTTCTGTATTTTACCGTAATTTTGAAAAGTAAACCTTAAAACATTAACTTCCCTCTGAGGTCCTCGGGAGGGGGAAGTTAAATAATTTTTCTGTATTTATGTGAAATCCCAACAGCTGACCTACCTGGTGAGGGGCAGGGATGAAAGACCCCTGCAGTGTGGTCGCCGGAGTCCTGTCCAGAATGTTCTAGACGGCCAGGCCCTCTCCTCAGGCCCTGGAGGACAGCAGGGTCACCCAGCGGGCGTTCCTCGGGAGGAGGAGGAGGAGGCGGTGCACTTGGTGACTGGGGCTGCTTCCTGGCTGGGTGCCCTGGCTCCCGTGGGGCCTCAGTGACTTCTGTTTGCAGGCTTGGAGCTGGGCCACCAGCCTCCATCTTCCCCCAAAGTCACCCAGGGGTGCCGTGGCAGGTGGGGTGTGTGAGCCCCTTGGAGAGGTCCAGCCCTATCCCCAGGGACAATGGCATCTCCAGAAGCCATGTAGCCCCGGCCTGGGCCTTGGTAATATTTGCTTCTGTTTGAGTCTTTTTTTTTAAAGACAGGGCCTCGCTATGTAGTCTGGGCTGGCCTTAAACTCATGGCGATCTGTAGGAACCAGCCTGTGAGCTGAGTTTGAACCTGACCGAGGGGTGATGAAGATAAAAAATAGAGACACAGAAACAAGTTAAAGTCTGGGGGGGCCGGAGGACTCATGTCTCCCTTCTTTGACTTAGAGCTCCAAGTGACTGGTACACCTTGGCTTTATTCACTCAGACACGGGCACCAGCAATTAGAGTTCCACAGGACTCATCTATCTCCCTCCATGGTATTTCTCCAGGGAAACAACTTCACCTCAGGTGTTTTTACTTTTCCCTACAGCGTGTTAGCTCGCTTGTGCTCCCTCTTCTCAGTGCTCACCAAGGAGGCCAGTTAGGCCTCAGTCTTCCCATCTGATCTCTGTAGCGATCCTCCTGCCTCAGCCTCCCAAGTGCTGGGATCACAGGTGTGTGCCACCATGGCCTGCTATACCATGCTTTCTTAAAAAACCAAACTGCTGAGGCCGGGAATTTAGCTTAGTGGCCCCGCGCCTGGCTTCCAAGTGCAAGGGTGAGTTTGATCGCCGGTACCAAAACCAAACCAAACCCCAACTGCTAGCTGTGCAGGTCATTTCCAGTGTTTGTGAGGCAAACCTGGGCTCACTCCTCCACGCAGGGCCTTCCCACCTCCCCAGGAAGTGTCAGGCCATGAAAGCGGTTTTTCTTAAGTGACACAGGACAGAGTAACATCATAAATATTTTAATGTTCTTTTGTGAAGCTTTTGTTTTGTGTGCGTGTGGGGTACTTGGTAAGGGAGGTAAATTACTATTTCACTAAGGACTTCAATGAAAACAGGTTTAAAACATATTCCTCTCCCAGGCCAGGGATGGTGGCCTACACTTGTAATCCTGGCTACTTAGGAGGCTGAGGCAGGAGCATCTTGAGTAGGAAGCCAGCCTGGGCAACTTACTGAGGCTGCTGTGGGTCTCCCGGCCCCTGGCCACACCTCCACCCCATCTGCTCTTTGCTGTTTCCTCATCTGTCCCCCTGGCTGACCCTTCGTTCCATGAAGATGCAGATCACAGCAGTTTTCCCTGGCTGCTAACTTAGTGCCTGGGATAGAGAAAGGGTAGCAACATTTGCTGGATTAATTGTAACATGAGGTCATCCCTGCTTCAGAGTCGGCTGATGATGGACTGAAACCTCTATGAACTGTAAGCCAATAAATAAACTCCTTCCCTTCTAAAAAAAAAAAAAAAAATGTAACAGGAAAAAAGTCAGCTTTCAAAGTCATCTCCCTCTGCCTCACCCCGGGGCAGCTACCATCACCTATAATCACAGCACTTTGGTAGGCTGAGGCAGGAGAATTCCAAGTTTAAGCTAAGGCTGGACAAGTTAGCCACTTCATGAGACCGTGCCTCAAAATAAAAAAATAAAATGGGCTGGGGATGTAGCTCAGCGAAAAGGTGCTGAGTCCAATCCCTAGTGCCACACACGTCATATACATATGTCGTCTTAGTAAGGACATGGAGATGCACACGTCATATACATATGTCATCTTAGTAAGGACAGGGAGACGTTAGAACCTCAAGTGTTGCTGGTGGGAACGTGAGACAGTGCAGCCGCTGGGGGAGACAGCATGGCAGGGCCTCAGATGGTTACAGAGCTGCCGTGGGGCTCGGCGCCTCGGCTGGGTGGGTGTGCCCGGCAGTGTGAGCGTGGTGTGCAGAGCCGTACCATTCGCTGGAACCAAAGCCACGATGCCCTGGTGGTCATCCCATGGGCTGCTAGAAGAAAAAGCCACACAGGCCCCCTTCAGATGCTGCACTAACAGGAAGTGCCTACTGCAGGCAAATCCAGGCAGAGGAGAGGCAGGGCCTGGCAGGGTGGGGAGCCAGTGGGGTACATGGTGCGGGGCTTCCTTTCCAGCTGATGAAAATGTCCTGGAATTAGACACAGCACCGAGTGTACCAGGTGTCACTACTGAAATTTTATCACGTATTGCCATTTTTCATTTTTATTGTTTTGCAGTACTGGGGATAGAACCCAGGACATTGTGCATGTTAGGCGACCACTGTATCACTGAGCTACATCCCCAGCCCTTTTTATTTTTATTTTAAATTTTGAGACTGTCTAGCTAAGCTGATCAGGCTGGCTTCAAACTTTTGATCCTCCTGCCTCAGCTTCCCAAGTGCTAGGATTACAGCATGTGAAGGCTGTGTTGTGTGTGTATGGCTGTAATGGGTATTGAACCCAGCACCTTCACACTGAACTAAATCTCCAGCCCTTTTTTATTTTTAGACAGGTTCTCACTAAGAGGCCAAGTTGCCCAGGGTGGGCTTGAATTTGTGATCCTCCTGCCTCTGCCCTCCTGAGTGCTGGCATTACTAGCACTCAGTAATCCTACTGTGGGCCAACACCATGCTAGCTAAGACATTTCTTAAAGATCCTATCTGCCTTCTAAAGCTGGGTGAGCTTCGCCTCTGGAATGTTCTTTCATCTGCCGGACCCACTTCTGGGCCTGAGTGAGGGGTGGGAGAGGAAGAAGACAGAGGCCCCAGCCTTGGCGGTGCGTGAGCGGGGAGGGTGGGAGAGAAACCCAAGAGCGCGGGGAACGCGAGTGCCCAGCTCTGAGCTTGCAGCCTGCACAGTAACTGGCGTTCAAAGCGTCTCTACAGGCCTGAAGGTTTGCTCGCTCTCCAACCTCCTGACACCCCAAACCCCCAACCCGAACAGGAAGCTGAGGGTCACATGGGCCAGCACCGCAAGTTCCCGAGTGGGGCCCCAGTTCCCAGTGAGTTCCTGGCACCTGTGGACGTGGCTCTGCTTGGCAAAAGCATCTTTGCAGGTGTGATTGAGTTGAACTCCCAGGATGAGAGCCTCCTGGATTACCCAGGTGGGTCTGAGGTCCAACGAGAGTTCTTTTGTTTTTTGAGACAGGGTCTGGATCTGTAGTTCAGGCTGGCCTTGAACTCACTGTGTAGCCCAGGCTGACCTTGAACTCATGGTGATCCTCCTGCCTCAGCCTCGGGAGTGGTGGGACTGCAGGTGTGCACCACCACGCCTGGCAAGTGTTCTTCGTTTTATGTTGGGGTTTTTTTTGAGACAGGATCTCACTATGTAGCTCAGGCTGGCCTTGAACTCACTCTGTAGCCCAGGGCAGGAGGAGCCAGTGGAAACCAAGCCAGGTGATGGGGCAGGTGGCCAAGGAGAGACGGGAAGTCGGGGTGAGAGGTAGTACTTTATTGACTGAGTTCACCCCGCATCTCGCAGCCCTGGGCTTGGCCAGAGCCGGATCCAGAATTGAGAAGAAACCGCAGCTCACAGACAGCTCTGGGCCTCCAGGCCACAGAGCGGGGTCCCCAGTGCAGCCGGGAACACCCAGGCCCGGCCAGGTCCTCCCTCGCTGCCCGGTGAGGTCGGCGGTATTCACAGTGAGCCTGGCTTTGATGGCAGGGGGCGACAGCGACAGACAACTTCCAGCTTCCCACCCACCCTCGGCCTGACATGGGGTCAGGGCTCTGCCCCGTGTCCCCCTCTGGGACAGGGGAGTCCTGTGCTGGAGAGGCAGAGGCAGGGCCACTTGTCTTGCAGTCCTCCAGGCAGGGCCACCTACCACTCCTGGCTCAGAAGTTTCTAGAACATCTTTAAGACCTTGCCTGCCCTTGCTCCCAATTAGAAAAACGTCTGAAATCTAGGAGTTGCCCAGAGTGTGTGGAACCAAGCAGTAAAAACCCTGGGAAGGCCTCGGTTTAAAAAGGTGCCTTGACGTTCACTAGGAGCCTGGGGGCCGGATGGGGAGCAGAGGGGTGGCTCTTGAAGGCCAGGGGTTGGCGAGATGCAGGAAGCAGTGCTGAGGATGAGTTCTCCGGCTTGGCCCGGGCCGGGCCTGGGCTCAGCGGGCAGCGGGCACCGTTCATGGCGGCAGGGCCCCGGAGTCCTCAGGCCCTGTGGCCCCCGTTGGCCAGTGGCTCCTTGTGGCTGGCAGGGGCGCAGTCCGTGGCAGGCTCGAACCCCAGCATCTGGCGCTGCACCAGCTTGGCATAGAGGCCGCCCTGGGCCAGCAGCTGCTGGTGGGTGCCCTGCTGCACCACGCAGCCCTTGTCCAGCACCACGATGCAGTGCGCGCGTTCCACGGTGCTCAGGCGGTGCGCGATGATCAGCACCGTGTGCTGCTGAAGGTTCCCGTGGATGGCCTGCTGGATCTGGGGACACGGGCCGCTCAGCCGCGGGGAGCAGACCTGCAGCCCTGTCCTGCCCACTCGGCCTCTCTGGCCCCAAAGGGACTCGCACTTGTAATCAGTTCTCTCCAACTCCCGTTCCGACCCCACCTGCCTCCCGTCCACCTGACTCCTGCCGATTCCTCGGCAGGCAGATGCGCCGCGTGACCCTGTCACAGTGGGCACCTAACAGCCGCCATCTGCTTGCAGCCAGGCCACCTGAGGTGTCCGTCTCATCAGAACCCCACCAAGCTGGGCTGGAGACTCACAGGACCCCTGTCCTTCCTGCTCCACTTCTTACAACCCTAAGACTGCTCTACATAAATAAGGTCCGCTGATTCAAGGGCCTGAGAGTCCTCCCATGGGCTGTCACCCAGGGGAAGGACGGCCCCGGCTCCCAACCTCTGTAAGAGCGACCCTAACTTCCATGGCTGCCTGCAGACATGGGGTGCCTCACTGCAGTCACGCCGAGCACCCTTCTTATTCATCCCTGGCCCCCTCTCTCCCCGCTCCACTCCCTCTCCCTTTACAGTCAGCATGGTGGTGGACTCCTGTGATTCCGGGACTCAGGGAGGCTGAGACAGGAGGATACCAAGTTCAAGCCCAGCCTGGGTCACTTAGTGACTCAGTGACAGTCAATCTCTGGGTTTTTTTTTTTTTTTTTGGTACCAGGGATTGAACTCGAGTCCTTAGCTTGCGAGGCAGGCGGTGGAACCACTGAGCTAAATCCCCGGCCCCATCCTGGTTCTTTTGTATTTTTCTTTCTTTTTTTTCCAAGACAGGGTCTCCCTATATAGTCCAGGCTGGCCTCAAACTTGCAGCTACCTCCTGCCTCAGCTTCCTGAGTGCTGGGATCACAGGTGTGTGCCACCACGCACAGCTCCGTTTTGTATTTTTCACCGAAAGTTGTTAAATTGTCCGGGCTGGGCAGGCTCGGCTTGAACTCGCAATCCTCCTGCCTCAGCCTCAGAGTGGCCTGGCCTAGTGGACCTGCTCTACTGATGAAAATGAGATCAGGGAGGGGCAGCGACTGGCTCAAGCTAAAGGTCACAATGTGAGCTGTGGGTGGTCTTGGGGTGCAGCTCAGTGTAAAGCACTTACAAAGGCCTTGGGTTCAACCCCCAGCACCCTGCGAACAGGAAACCAAATCCCGAAAGCCGGAGCCTGGCGGTGCCTCCAGCAGGGGTTCGGGTCCTGCCAGCCTTGGTGTTGCACAGCCTTAGCTCTGCCCGGAACCAGGAAGCCTGGGGGCCAGGCCCAGGGCCTCCCCTTCCCTGGCTCCACCCCAGCCAGGGTGCAGGGCAGGGGCTGCTGGCCCGGGAGAGCCGTGCTCGGGCCCCCGCCACTCACCAGGTACTCACTCTCCGCGTCCAGGGCACTGGTGGCTTCGTCCAGGACGAGGACAGGAGGGTTCCGCACCAAGGCCCGGGCCATGGCCACCCGCTGCTTCTGGCCACCTGACAGCTGGGCACCCTTCTCTCCCGTCTCTGTGGGCCGGGGCAGAGGGACAGGGACAGGTGAGGGGGAGGCAGCAGCCCGGGGACAGCAAGGGCGGGATGTCCCGCCAACTGGGCCCTGGCTTCCGGGAGAAGCAGCACAGGGCCATGGTGACAGGGACACACTGGGGAAGCTCAGGAGCCGGGGCTGGCCAGGCTGCTCTGGAACCCAGGTGACACGGGTCCTGGGCGGAAACCCAGGCATGTGGTGACCCCGAGCTGGGGAGGAGGGGCACTGTGCGTGACCCAAGTCCTCACCAGTGGGAGCCCTGCCTGTCCCCCACCCTGTTCAAGTAGTAGTGCTATTCTTGGAAAAAACCCTAACAAATAAATAAAAACCTGTCAACTCTGCCGGGCATGGTGGCGCACGCCTGTACTCCTAGTACTCAGGAGGCTGAGGCAGGAGGATTGCTGTGAGTTGGAGCCCAGCCTGGGCTGCACAGTGAGTTCAAGGCCAGCCTGAACTACATAGCGAGATCCTGTCTCAAAACAAAAGGGGGTGACTAGGGATGTATTTTTTATCATCAATTTTTTAACCCTTTTGCCTGAGCCTCCCACAGTGCTGGGATTACAGGCGAGCTTGTGTCCCTCCTTTACGACCGGGTCTCGCTATGCAATCCAGGTCAACCCTGAACTCACTGTGTAGCCCAGGCTGGCCTCAAACTCCTGGCGACCTTCCTGGCTTGGCTAGGTGTTCGCCACCACTTCCGGGCGAACCGCTCGCTGACGCTTCCCTTTACGCTGCGCAGTCACAGACGCTAATGCGAAGGCGCGCAGGCGCCATACCCGTGCTGTAGCCGTCCTGCAGCTCCATGATAAAGCCGTGTGCATTCGCCTTCTGCGCGGCCTCCACCACCGTCTCGAAGGGCACAGCGGGCAGCCCGTAGGAGATGTTGTCTGTGATGGAGCGCGCGAAGAGCACCGGCTCCTGGCTCACCAGGGAGATCTGCGGGGAGGCAGGGGGCGTCAGGCAGGATCCCGGCCCTGGGGAGCGCACAGTCCGCCCTGGCCCGGAAGGGAGTGAGTGCCGGTGCCTGGGTGAGCTGTGCCTGCCTCAGCCTAGCTGTGAAGTCTCCGGGCGCCTTCTAAGGGAACCAATCAAAGGCGCTGCTGTCCCATGACCCTGCTTAGGAATCTGGCCTACAAAAACAATCGTAGGGAAGACGTCCCTGTGCTGTAAAGAAAATCAATGAACTGCTGGGCGTGGTGGTAACATGCCAGTGATCCCAGCACTCAGGAGGCAGAGGCAGGAGGATCTCATCGAGTTTCAGGCTAGCCTGGGCTACATAGTGAGTCAAGGCTAGAATGAACTACATCTCGAGACCCTGTCTCAAAAAACAAAACAAAACAAGAAAAGAAAATTTAAGGTAGGGCCGGGCATTTAGCTCAGTGGTTCAAGGACCCGAGTTCGATCCCCAGTACCAAAAAAAGAAAGAAGGAAAATTTAAGGTAAAGGAGTGGGTGGGTATTCACAGAAGAGGAAAACCAAATGGCCAATAAACAGTCACCAAACACAAACTTGAAGGTCAGCAGTGTTCAGCATCCCAGCACCCTGGAGGATAGCAGCCCTGGGGGTCACATACTTAGGAACCACTTTTCAGCTGTTACCTCTGGTTACATAAGGGATGCAGGGGTATTTCCCAGCCTGTGACTTCTGCTGCCAGTCAGATCTTGGCCAGGAGTTCTGGAATCTGTGTGTCAGCCCTCAGGTTCTCATGTGATTCAGTGTGTGTTGATGATGTAAAGGGCCGCTCCTTAACTATTTGGTGTTCCTTTTATAGTACACAACCTGAACACCCGTACAGGGCCTCCTTGCTCCTATGTGAGCACAGAATTAGGTGTACAGGCCTCATTTCCAAAAGGATTAGCAAGAACTACAAGTATGGTCACGAATAGCCTCCTTTCAGTCCTACAGATGACCTAAGTGTGGGACATGTGGAACTCTCATCAGCTGCTAGCAGAATGTAAGCTGATAGCATAACTGGAACACAATTATGGTAGAAACTATTCAAGTTGGGGATAGGCATCTGCTCTTACCAAGCTTTTCTATTCTGAGGATTATCCTCAAGGGGAACAAACCCACAGGCACGAGAAACATGGGCCAAACTGTCCACAGTCCTGACTGGGATTGTGAGTAATGGAAAACCACCCCAGTACCCATCAAAAGCAGAAAGCGTGGCTAGACTGTGACATTTATCACAGCAGGTCATCATTCAGCAGTAAGAGAGGGCGAACCACTCTACAGCCGCAGCCTGGACAGCGTGTGCAGGCGCTGAGTGGGGGCACAGCACCGGGTGGGCAGAGCCGGCCTCCCGTGTCCTCAGCAGGTTCCTGGGCCCCACTGATCCCCAAATGCACAGGTGCTTGAGTCCCTTCCACAACATGGTGCAGTATTTGTTCATCGCCTGAGCCCACACTTTCTCACATACTTCCTGTCTTGGCTTTTGGGGGGGGGGTTGGGTTTTTTTGGTACCAGGGATCAAACTCAGGACCTTCCGCTTTCGAGGCAGGCGGCAGGTTTCTTTTTTTTTTTTGGTGGGTTGCCTTAAACTTGCAGTTTTCCTGCCTCAGCCTCCTGAGTTCTGGGATTACGGGTGTGCACTACCATACCTGGCTATAATTTTTTTCCCCAGTATGGGAGATTGAACCCAGGGCCTTTGCACTGAGCTACATCCCCAGGCTTTTTACAATTTTGAGACAGGGTCTTGCTAAGGTGCTCCATTGCCCAGGATGGGTTCAAAGTTGTGATCCTCCTGCCTCAGCCTCCCAAGTGCTGTGATTACAGGCATGCACCACCACACCCGGCTGCAATTTTGCTTTTACTGTTTTCAGTCTACAGCTGGTTAAACCTTCAGATCCAGAAACTGCAGATACAACTGTCCACACTATAATTCTATCAAAGTTCAAACCAGGTGAAACAGCTATGCTGTTTGGGACAGCTCAGAGAGATGGCAAAACTAATGCAAAGAAGGAAAATGGGGGTGGTAGAGGGTGCAGTGGAGCAGGCCTGTAAATCCTAGCTACTGGGGAGGCTGAGGCAGGAAGGTCACAAGTTCAAGTTTGAGGGTAGGCCCTGTCTCAAAATTTAAAGTAGAAAAAAAATTTAAAGTAGAAAGGGCTGGGGATGCAGCTCTGAACTCCCTGGGTTCAATCGCAAGTACCAAAAGGGGAAAAATGTGGTGGCCACACAAGTCCACGCAAGTCAGGGTGGCAGGCGCGGCACTCACCATGCGGTGCAGGTACTTGTGGTCGTAGGAGCCAATGGGCTGGCCGTCGAGCAGCACGCGGCCACCCTGCAGCGGGTAGAAATTCTCCAGGATGTTCACGCAGGAGCTCTTCCCACTGCCCGAGGGCCCCACAAGGGCTGTCACCTTGCCCGGCGTCAGGCTGAAGGTCACATTCTGCAGGGCCAAGCAGCGGCAGGCAGCGGTGGGTCCGGGCGGGTCCGGGCCTCAGACACAGGCCTCGGAGGTAGGCGTGCCCCGCCCACCCTGGCCTTGGGCCGGGTTCTCCTTTCCTGGACCCGGGCCTGGGCCGCTGTCTGCTGCTTCCCTCCGAGCCACCTGGCTGCGCCTCGGCCGGAGGAGGTCGCCTGGAGACTGCCACCAAGGCGCCTGCCAAGCCTCACCTGCAGGACCTGCGTGTGCGGCCGCGTGCGGTAGGTGAAAGTCACGTTCTCGAAGTCCACGCGGCCCTCCAGGTGCTCGGGCGCCAGGCTGCCGCCGTGCGCCATGGTCGGCTGCCGGTCGATGAACTCGAACACCTTCTCGGCGGCGCCCACGCCCTGCATCAGGCCGCTGTACACGGAGCCCACGGACTGCGGGACAGACAGACAGACAGCGACCTGTGCCCGACCGCTCCAGGACCGGGAGACGGAGCAGTGGCTCCAGGCGCCGCCCGTTGGCCCAGTGGGCAAAAGGGACAGGGGCACAGGACAGGCTGTTGTCAGAGGCGGGCGTGCACTGGTCATTACCGCAGTCTCCCCAGCCCTGCAGGGTGGGTGCCACCCAGCCTCAGGGTGAGGAGAAAGGCAGAGGCTGCCACGCAGTGACCAACGCTCGGTCTTCAGCTGCTATGGCTTTATTTTGAGGCAGTGTCCCTAAACGGCCCAGGCCATACTCAGACTTGTGACCCTCCTGCCTCGGCCTCCCAAGTGCTGGGATTACAGGCCGATGCTACCACACCCAGCTGGGGGGTTTTGTTTTGCTTGTTTTGAGACAGGGTCTCGCTATCCAGTTCAGGCTGGCCTTGAGCTCACAGTGTAGCTCAGGATGGCCTGTGGTGATCCTCCTGCTTCAGCCTCCCAAGTGCTGGGATTACAGGCGTGCACCACCATGCCTGGCCACTATTTTAATTTTTAAAACTAGTCTTAACTATAGTTTATATAAATATATTCTCCTTGGGCAAACATACACAGCATGAGAGCTGGGTACCATGGCACCCACCTGTAATCCCAGCACTTTGAGAGGCTGAGGCAGGAAGACTGGGAGTTTGAACCCAGGCTGGGCAACACAGCAACTCAGAAAGACCCCCGTCTCAAAATAAAAAATAAAAAACGGCTGGGGATGTGCTCAATATGAAGGCTCTAGCTAGACCTGGTGGAGGCTGAGGCAGGAGGATCGCCATGAGTTTGAGGCCAGCCTGGGCTCCATAGTGAGACCTGTCTCAAAAAAAGGAACAAACAAAATCCAATACGAAGGCTCTGGGTCCAATCCCTAGTGCAGTAAAAAAACCAAGAGAACATAAATCATTAGAATCCCTGTTTTATTGAGCACTTTTCCTGCCTGCCTGCCTGCCTGCCTGCAGTGCTGGGACTTAACCCCAAGGCCTTGCTCATGGTGGCAAGTGCTCCACCCCTGAGCTACCTCCCAGCCCTTTCCCTTTCACTGTTTAAATTTTGAGACAGTCTCACTAAATCACCCAGGCTGGCCTTGAACTTGTGACCAAGTAGCAGATTACCGGCCAGCCCAGCGTCCCACCAGGTCACGCGGGGTCGCTCACAGGCACAGAGAGCTCAAATCACCTGGCCGGGGCCACACAGCGCACAGGAGGCTGATGTGGGCTGCGCTCCCCAGCCTGCTGGCTCCCGGGGCTTCCGGAAGACACGGTGCTGCGGGAGGAAGGGCTCAGCATGGAGTAAGCAGCTGACATCCGCCAGGTCACTGCGGCTGGCAACACGCACAGTGTGCTCCCACAGCCTCTTCACGCAGGGCGGAGAGGGCTCGTGGGGGCGCTGTTCCCGAGTCCAGGTGTCTGCACAGGTTTGCACTTTAATTTGGGGTACTGCTGATCGAACCGGGGCTTTAGCAGCCCTTTGAGTTTTCCTTTGAGACAGGGTCTGGCTAAGTGGCTAAGAAGCCCAGGCTGGGCTTGAGCTTGCGACCCTCCTGTCTCAGCCTCCTGGAGTGCTGGAATGACAGGTGTGCGCAACCGCCCGGCTGCTTGCAGGCAGTCACTGTGGGGTCAGTAACGGCGCAGATGCCACTCTGGCAGTGACACCAACCGCAGCCTGGACCACATGGGGCTGATGCCCCAAGTCCCTGGCCTCACCGGGGGACACACAGGACCCCTGGTACCGCACTCCGGGCTCACTGGGGCACCTGCGCCTGAACACCCCAGCCTCCCGGCCCGCAGGGGACTCCTCCAGGCTGCCGTGTGTCCCTGGATTTCCCAGGACAGAGTCCCCATAACTCAGCTGTACCCTAATCCTGTCCTGGGACCCACTTTCCGACCCCAAGCTCACAGGCCCTCTGCTGTGTGTGTGGCACTGCCCTGAAAGGGGGTGAACCCAGTTCCCCGCCTCCCTGAGCCTCAGTTTCCTTTCCTGAGAAAGGAGGGTCTTGATGGCACTCAAACCTCTCTCTGCCCTTTTTTTGTTTTGAAACTGATACTGCTTTTTAGTTCAGGCTAGGCGATCCTCCTGCCTCAGCCTCTCGAGTGCTGGGATTACTGCCATACACTACCACAGCTGGCAGTAGCCCCCATGAAGGTGCCTGTCCCTGGCCTGTGCCCACGCTGGCCCCTCACCTCCATGCAGTCCCCCAGCACGAACTCATAGATGATGAAGGCGATGAGGTTGCTGCTGGTCATCTGGCCCGAGATGACGAGGTGACCGCCGTAGTAGAGGATGCTGACCTGGACCACCAGCAGCGTGAGCTGGGGAAGAGTGGGCATGGGTCCGGGCCCTGCGTGCCCTGCACCAGGGAGGTGGCCTGGCCAGGGGCCCCTCCGCGTCCCGATCGGCTTGCCAGGCTGGGCTGGGCCAGGCACAGAACAAGGCCGCTTTGTGAGGCTCGCTCAGCCGGCCAGGCGGGGGCCCTGGGGCAGGGTGGGCTCCCGGAGGGGGGCCTGGCCTGGGGGTGGCTGGACATCTGGAGCCCCACAACTTCCCCGGGGTCCCAATCTGTCCCCGACCTGGGCCCAGAGTTGGGGCAATGGGGGGACGCGTGGGCTTGTGGAGCCCTCCACCGTGGGGGGCCCTCCCTTCCTCCCTGGCTGGCACTTTCCAGGGGTTCCTGTGTAGGAGGGGGACCTCAATAGTCCCTGCCCACGGGGCCCCCTTGTAGATTTCCAGCCCCTTTCCCTGAAGCTCCAGTGTAGCCTAGATTGGCCTCAAAGTCCCAGTGATCCTCCTGCCCCCGCCTCACTCCTACCCCAGCTCCTCCCCATCAGCCCACCTCCCAGGGGGCCGGGCAGCAATGTGGCTGTCTGCAGACCCCGTGATCTGCTCCCGACCTGACTCAGGCCCTCGCCCCGCACCCCTGCACACACCCCGCTGCCCCAGACGTAGGCCGTGTAGGCGGCCGCCTCCTTGCGGTTGAGCCGGTACACCTGCTGCAGCTTGCGCTCGTACACCGCGGCCTCCTCCTCTTCGTTGGCGAAGCTGCGCACTGTCTTCATGGCGCTGATGGTCTCCTCGGCCATGCTGCTGGCCCGCGCCAAGGCGCTCTGCACCTCTTTGGAGAGCCCCTGTGGGCGGGAGGACAGCAGAGACCCCAGACAGCTCGGCTGTGCCAAGCCCACTCCCGCGCGCCTGCAGGAAGTCCCGCCCCTCCGTGCCTGCCCATCTCCACATCCAGCTCTTCCCGCTTGATTTTTTTGGGGGGGGGGGGTCTTGCGAGGCAGGCACGGTGTCCCTGAGCTACATCCCCGGCTCTTCCCGCTTGATTTGAGACCGGGGAGCACACTCTCCGTGACGGCTCAGCTCCTGAGGGGTGACGGTGAGGTCTGTAAATCATCTTTAGTACTCAAAGAAGGCTATTGGAGCCGGTACAGCGGCACATCCCTGTGATCCTAGCACTTGTGAGGCTGAGGCAGGAGGATGGCTGCAAGTTCGAGGCCAGCCCGAGCTACATCCCAAAAAGCCCATAAAAACAAATGGGGCCGGGGATTTAGCTCAGTGGTTCCACCGTCTGCCTTGCAAGCTCAGGGACCCGAGTTCGATCTCCGGTACCAAAAACAAAACAAAACAAAAAACCCACAAAACACCAAGAACAACAAAAACAACAAAGAAAGCTATTCAAGACGATGGCTCTTGGGAATTCTTTCAGAAAAGGGGCCTCAACACCGGATCCTGTGCTGACACAGAGCAGGGAGGCCTCGGATGGTTGCTGAAGTTGTACACAATACAAGAAACGCCAAATGTTAAGGGGGTTCCGTTTCCCTCATTAAATGAGGTGAGTGTGAGGGTGACACAGAGACTCCGGAATGCCCACCCAAGCTCCAGATGGTGGCAGCCTGGGGCTGTGAGGGATCTGCACACAGTGAGAGGCAGCGCTGAGACGTGGCTCCAGGTGCAGGACCCGCAGACTGCAGCGGCCAGGACACACCTGTGTCTGGCCAGGCCACAGGAGGCTGCAGGGAGCCCTGCCCGGCCCAGCCCCAGTCACGCTGGTTGGTCCGGTCACAGTGTGGTCTGGGGAATAATGAATCGGTGACATCTGCCTGGTCCAAGAGGGTGGGGAAGCCATAGCCCCCAAAGCCCAGCCCTGTGGAAGGTGGCCAGGCACACAGAGTCCCCCACCCCAGCGTCTGCCCCCTGCCTTCAACCTCAGCTCTCGCCAGCTTCCAGGCAGGCTTGTCTTTGCTAGGACTGCTGATAGTCCCATCCCACTTTTCCACTGGGCCAGGGGCCCCCAGGGCAGGCCTGTGTCCTACTGTTTCCCCCACACAGAGACACAGTAGGTGCTCAGGAAACAGTTACGGGATGAGCCAAGGGTCAAATGCAAACGTGGCCCTCCCTGGCTTCGTGGCCCTCAGAGCCCCTTCCTGGGGACAGAGGCCGGGGCCTACCTTGTAGTACTTGCCGTAGATGTTGGACACCATCATGATGATGGGGAAGCCCATGAAGGTGACCAAGGACAGCTGCCACGAGAGACTGAACATGAAGACCACCACGCCTGTGACCTTCACAGTGTTCCGCAGGAAGATGTTGATGTTCTGGGAGACCAGGTCACTGACCATGGTGGTGTCCGAGGTAAGGCGGGAGATGAGGTCCCCTGCAACACAGGTGGGGCCACCGTGCTGGCTGCAGGGGATGCTAAGGGGCTTGCGAGGCAGGAGCTGGGAGTCCGGTGGGACCTCAGGTGGCCTGGCCTGGGTCCTACCGCGGCCACAGCTCACACCAGCACCTCCAAGACAGCCTGGGTGTCCCCATCCTGACCGCAACAGCGGGACCCAGCAGGGCCAGGCCACCAGGCACCTGCTCCGCAACCTGAGGGCCCAGGACACCAACCTGTGCGGTTCTCGTCAAAGAAGCTTGTCTCCTGCGACACCAGGGAGCGGAAGAGACAGTTTCGCAGGCGGATGTTCAGTCTGGCAAATATGAGGGTAAAAATGCCGCCCCGAATACCTGCGGCAAATGAGCTAATTGCAGATAAGAGATGTTATAGCACAATATCCTTCCGACAAGTGACAGCCACCACCCGGCCTCCCCCCCAGGTCCAGCAGGCGAGGGACCCTTGAGGCGGGCACTGCCCAACCTCGGGCCACTCCAGGGCTGGCACCGCTCTGGGTCCCTTGCATTCTGCAGCCAGAGCCACCACTGTGAGGGTGAGAGTGAGGTGGGGGGAACAAGGGACCCAGAGCTGCCAGAAACCAGCCAGGAAGGGTGACGGGGACCTTGAGGGCCCAAGCCACTTTCAGAGGCCAGAGGGCGTGGCTCTCAGATACAGCCCACCTCAGGGCCCTGGGTTCCAAGCTGGCTTGGAACTGGTCACCATGGTGACAGGCTGGGGGACAGGGCCCCGGGGGCTGGGCAGGGCGGCTACCTGCCGATGGCCAGGAGGCACACGACCACCACGGCCGTGCTGAACTGCTCCATGCTCTTCTGGATGACGATGCTGTCGATGGCCCGGCCCGTGTAGTAGGGCAGGAAGGTCTCGCCTGGGGAGGCAAGGCGCACTCAGGGGGTGGCTGCGGCTGGACTCCCAATCCCCTCTGGCCCCACCACAGCCCGGCTGCTCCCTGCCGCTCTACACTGAGAGCGACACAGGAATCGGGTTAAAGCTGCTGACCCGGCAGGTGTCAGAAACGGCGGCCACCAGGCTCCAGCGCACAGCTGAGCCCCGGAGCGGCCCCCACCGTGGGGAGACAGTGACGCTGAGAGGTGACTCGCCGGCCACACAGCTCTCCCTCCTGGCTGATTCTTCTCGGGCAGAGGGTGCAGAGTCCGGTCCAGTGCCTGGCTCTTCCTGTCCCCCACACTGGCGACTGCCACCCTGGCACTCCAATTTGCCAGGTGACTTGTCCCCCACGTGTCCTATGTCCCCACATCCTGGAGGCCAGAGAGGCTGAGCAGCTTGCTGAGGTCACAGCGGGGAAGGGGAAGGAGCAGGACCCAAAGCCTCAGCCTGGCTCGGAACTGGAGGCTGCTTCAGGGTCCTTGCACTCCAGGGCCCACTTTGCTTCTTCCCGCAGGCGGAACCAGCCTCCAGGTCGCAGGCCTTCGTGTGGCTCTGGTGCCCTCTGCTGGACGTGGCACAGGAACATGAGGGGGCGCCAAGGGGCTTCCCACCTCTGGGCTTCAGCCAGGGGTCTCAGATCCACCTGAGCTGCAGCCCTGCCTCAGTTTACCCAGGCACGGTAATGTGTCCTTCCTGGGTGCCATGCAGTCAGAGAATCCGACAGCTGTGCCTCTGGGTGCTCCCAGACTCCCGCCCTCTCGCTGCCAGCGCCCTCACGGGCCTCAGTCCCATGTGCTGCCCAGCGATTCCACAGCTTTGGGATTCTTCTCCGTTTGGGGCAATTTATTCTCCCACAGAAGAGGATGCAGGCTCAAAGCAGTTACATCTCTCGTCAGGTGGCCAAGAAATCCACATTGAAGAATCCGTCTTTGATTTTTTTTCTGTTCTTGCAGTACTGGGGATTGAGTGCAGGGTCTCAGCATGCCAGAGAAACATTACGCCTGAGCTACACCTCAGCACTTTGTTGTCATTGTTGTTGTTGTTTGAGGGGGGTTAGTAGTTCTGGCCCTGAACTCACTATGTAGTCCAGGCTGGCCTTGAACTCGAGATCCTCCTGCCTCAGCCTCCTGAGTGCTGGGATTACAGGTGTGTGCCACCATGCCTGGCTCATCCTATCTGTTTTCATGCAGGTTTTGCAAGGCCCTGAAGTAAGGACTCTGCTGACCCCTACTCCACAGAGCGAGGGAGGGAGGCTCAGAAAGGTCCCATCACTGGCTCCTGCGCAGGACTGCGACCTGAACCCTGGCCTGCTGCCCCCAGAACCCGGGCAGTGTGGACCCCACAGGACCACGTTCCCACGAGGCTCACTGGGAAGACCAGAGCCACAGATGGAGGCATGTTTTACTTCCAAACCCAGGCATACTCACATCAGCACACGCAACTCAAAGTTCTACACACCGTGCTTCCTCTGACCACAGGCCACCCTCTTCAGCTTCCTATCCTGCTGTTCATTACGAGGCAACACTTCCGACCCAGAGATCCCACTTCTGGAATTTATCCTTTGGTGCCAACCATATTTATATGAAATGCATGTGAACCCAGGCACTCATTGTAAGGGGAAAAGGCTCCAAAACCCCAAGAGTCTGACAACAGGAGACCAGCCAAAAAAATTATGCCAGTTATGCAATGGAATACTATATAGCCACAAAGGGACCGAGGGCTCAGTGGGGAAAATTCCAGAATACGTAAAGTGCAAAGAGCAAGATACCACAGAGAGCGTAGAAGAGGCAGGGAACAGCGTGTTCCTCTGTGCTTGTGGCTGACACACAAGAAAGGAATACCTGGTCTCCTGTCCCTTGGAAGTTTCTAGAACTTTTCCTGGAACTAATCCTAGGAGGGTCTGGACAGCTAGGGGATGAACTACGCAGAAGTGTTTTCCCTTTGTGTCCCTTGGAGGTTTGAACTGTGTGACACGGCAAACATCCCAGAGGGCAGAGCTGGCTGTCCCCTGGGCGGCCATGCCCCGAGGTTGCTTACCCAGAGCCGCCACGATGAGGAAGAAGGCAGCAGCCACAAGGAAAGTGGCGTCGGGCTTGGTGTAGGACAGCAGCTTCTGCAGCGTGGCCCCTGACGCCTGCTCGTCCGGGACCCGGTCGTCCCCGCGGAAACCCTCAGCCTCGGCCCCCCTGCCGGGCTCCAGGGTCTCGGTGCCTGGCTGCACGGTGGACAGCAGCCACCAGAGCAGGAAGGAGGCGGCTAGCGACACATATGTCCACACGAACAGAGCCCAGAACCACGGGTCCCGGATGGGCCTGCGCACCTCTGAGAAGAGCAGCAGCTTGGCCATGGCATAGATGCCCACGAAGAGGCACACGAGGGTGAGGACCAGCCACGAGGCCCGCAGCCGCCGGGGCCCCAGGGTGCTGTTCTTGGCCACGCCAATGGTGGCGCCCAGCAGCAGGCAGCTGCGGTACAGGCAGGCGGCCCAGAGGTCCAGCACTGAGTCGAAGACATTGAAGTGGCGGACGTCATCCAGCAGGCTTCGGTCCAGGTGGCTGAAGGCATAGATGGCGGTGGTCACGCTCACGTCCATGCTCATGAAGGCCAGCGTCACCACCACTGCCTTCCACAGCTGCATCCTGCTGGCCGGCAGTGGGCAGGGGCCGAGGGACAGCTGTCGATCACCGGAGCCAGCCCATGGTGCTCCGGGGTGAGGCCAGGCCTCGCGTCAGGCCTGCGCGTGGAGCTGTGTGACCCTGGCCTCTCTGCGGTTCAGTTTTCTTATCTGTAAAATGATAATGACAAGAGTGCTAACTTCCTGGGATGCTGCGAGGTTTCCCTCCATAATCTTTAGGCTGCCCTCTGACTCCAGAGATCTTCCTGCCTCAGCCTCCCCAGTGCTGAGATCACAGGCATGGCCATCGTGCCCAGCTCTCAGGCAACCTACAGAGCAACTGCTGCTGTGGGCCAGGCTCCATTCTGCTGGGGATTTAACAGTGAGCAGGAATGACACGGATCCCTGGTCGGATCCCTGGTCTCCTGGAGATGACAGCTCGCATGGGAGGAAGGTGAATAAGGAAAGGACAGAGAATGTTAAGAGCTAAGGCCACAGGGAACAAGGCAGGTGAGGAAGGTGAGGGGCAGGGTGCGTGAGAGGACTGTAAATGGAGGCAGGAAGACCTCGTTATGGAGGTAACACTTGAGCAAGACTGGAAAGAGGTAAGGCTGTGCCGCGTGCACGCAGGGAAAAGCATCTCAGGCCGGTGGAACAGATGGAGCCCCGTGGCAGGTGCCAGAGCAGGGCAAGGAAGGCTGGAGGACTTCGGCACCACTGCAAGGGTGAGGTTGAGGTCGGCAATCTCTGAACTACCATGGACCTCTCAGACCCTATTTCTGCATTTGTGCAACACAGCAGGAGTTCATGCTCGTCCATCCTGGGCCCGGTGCCCAGCACACTCTGGTTGCTGCTGATTGCTATCAGCCAAGCACAGCGGGCACGGGACACGTGTGCCACTCTCCTACCTCCACCTCGACGAGAGCCAGAGGGAGCAGGAAGGGTGTGGGTGGCTTGCAGGATCTTTGCATCGCTTAGAAGTTTCCAGAATCTTTCTGTGCAGTGAGGCTAGCCCTAACCCTCCACCCTAGCACCCTCTGGTGTCTGGCTCGGGGCCCTCAGGGCTCCCCCAGGCCCTGAGAGACTGGAGGCGGGGCTGGTGACTTGGGTGGGGAGAGGAGCTTGTCCAGGGTGGGGCTGGGACCCGGCAGTTGAGTCCCTGAGTGCCACCTCCTGGCCAGTCCTTCCTGGGAGGGGGCTTTGCTCTCCTATCTGCAAAATGGGCGGAGCTCTGGAGCCCCCACATAGAAGGGAGCAGCTCTGAGTGACAGGAGGGGAAACCGAGTCTGAGCCAGATTCCCCTGCCCATAGCTCCGTGGCCACATGGAGGGGATGGACCTCATGCTGTGGAGCGAGCCAACCTCACACGATCTCATTTACAGTGAGAAAGCCAACTGCCCCCGACACTCAGCTGACAAGGGCACCGACCAGGACTGGAGCTGACACACGAAGGAAGCCAGCACCGGATTCCTCCTGTGAGTCGTGTGGTGGCACACGGCAGGCATCCAAGAACTGCAGCGCTGTCCCATAACCTGAGGGATTTGGTCCTCACCACAGCCACTGTCACCATCCCCGTCCAACAGGGGGACAAGCTGAGGCCCAGAGAAGTTCATCACCTGCCTGAGGTCACACTGCTGGATAAGGGCACCTCGGGCGCGTGAGCTTAGACTCATCTAGGGGCCCTTCATCTAGGCTCCTAACGGTGAAGCTAAGCTTCTCACACTAACAGACGCCAACAGGAAGCTTCATATGAGGGAAACCGAGTCCACGTCAGAGGGGCGCAGTGAAGAGGCAGCTGTGACGAGGATGCAAATGCTGCCAACTACTGATGTGCTAAGTCATTTGTGCACGAATGCTCACAAGGGTCCCATCCAGTAGCTTCTGTTATCCCCATTCTACAGCTGAGAAAACTGAGGTGCGGAGAGATCCAGTAACCTGCCCCAGGCCACGCAGCAAGGCAGAGCTGGGAAGTGAAAACCAAAGCTCTGGTCCTTCCAAACAGCCTCTTTGTGGGGCAGGCGAGACCCCCAGTGCTGCTAAGCTGGGGCCTGGGGTCCAGACAGGGCACGGGGTGTGAAGCCCCCAAGCCTGTGTCCTGGTGTCACCCCAGCGCCTCCAGCAGGTTCCAGTCTGTCTCGGCCGGACGGCTGCTGGGTCAGCCACTGCCGCTCCAGGGGGAGCAGGGCCACGGGGATCAGGGGACAGGGTAGGCAGCACCCCTGCTGGACCCTGCTGGTCACCAGCCTGGCTGGGGTGCCGGGCAGCACAGCTTTCTGCTGCAATGCAGAGGCCTCGGCACGAGTGAGTGGGTGAGCTCCTGGAGGTGCCCAGAAAGGGAGCTCCTGGCCCACGGCCACCCCAGGCCTCCCGGCCCAGCCATGCAGGCTGCTTTCTCTTCCTGGTGGGCAAAGGGGGACCCACAGCCCCTGAAAGTAGGTAGGGTTTGGAACCAGGTGGTGGCAGAGGTGCAGGCTGGACGGCAGCCCAGGGGTCTGGCCAGCTCTCCCCACCTGATGCCAGCCCGACAGACACCCAACAGGAGCTTCAACTCCTGATCCTCATCCAGTAAAGTGAACCCCAAACACCAACAGCAGAACTGTCTAAAACATGTTTTGAACCCAAGCCCAAGGAGAGAGGAGGTGGTGTTTAGAGCAGGATGGCACCTGGCCCCCCAAGCACCAGCTCCTTTTACTACACCCTTCTCTGTCAGGGTCCAACTGGGTCAGGTCGGGGTACAGTCCTGGCTGGGGACAGCTTCCCTGTTATTTTTAGTTTCTGAGCAGAAGGATTTGGGGGACGGAGCACAGCCTGGGAGGCACAGGAACCCTGAGGCTGCTGGGAGGCTTGAATTGGAGAACACAGCTGGGCTCCACCAGGTGCAGGCAGAGGGCAAATTGTGGCCACACGGGTGATGTGTGCCCAAGTGACAACAAGGTGGTGGCCAGAAGCCAGAGAACGCCCTGGAACACAGGGGCCACTCGCCTCAACCCCACAGGCTGGGGGTGGCGCAGGCTACCAGGTGACCCGTGCCCCCGGGGCCTTGTCAAAGGCCTTCCTGTCCAGTGGAGGACACTGTGGGGACAACTCCGGGTGTCGGCTGCAGAAAGGCAAAGCCTACAGCAGCCAGGAGATAAACACCCATCATTACACCCACAGCAGTCAGGTGTCACTATGTCCTGTGCACCCAGCTCACGGTCCCCAAGCCCACCACGGTCGCCTGATGGAAAAGATGGAGCCAGGGCGAGAACTGACTCCTCACCCCGGGCCCTGCCCAGGCTACTCAGGGGTTGCAGTAGAGGTCCTTCCCCCCTCTCTCGGTGAGCTTCCACCCCAAGGTGGCCATGGCCTGGGGAGGCCCGGCTGGTGCTGGCTGAGGCTCACCCGTGGGTCAGGCTTCGGTGGGTCTTGGAGGCATGGCCAGGTTTGGGCTGGGTGCATGCAGCTCTGTCCTAGCTCCCACCCGGCTGCCCACAGACCGCCCTGCAAGGGGATCTGGGGGAGCTGCTCAGGCAACCAGTGCCAACAGGGGAGCCCTTCCTACCACCCCCCTCCTGTCACCTGGCCCTGTGCCATCTGCAGTAGCACGGAGGCCACCTCATCTCCAGGGGGTGGGGCAGAGGGCAGGGAATCCCTGCATGCCAGCTTGAAGGCATCTCAGGGCACACAGGCCTAGGGTGGGGGAGCAACCAGGGAGGGGCCCGGAACCCAGGCCTCGCAGCCAGCAGTGGGAGCTGGAAGGCTGGGAGGGGAGGGGAGGGGCTGTGCACCCCGGCTCCGCTCAAGCCCGACCCCGAGATCGACAGCCAGGACCCCCCAAACGTTCCCGCACACTGTTTTCCAGAAGACGGCGTTGCCTGGGGAGTTAAAAAAATGGCACCTTCGCGCAGCGGGCACGGAAGATGCTGCGGGGTGGGGGCTGGGACCTGGGCCGCGGGCGCCGGGTACAGCAGGCCGGAGCCCGGAGATGCCCACCGGGCCGGGCCGGGTCCCAGGCGCCGCGCTCTTACCTGGCACCTGGCACCAGGTGAGCTGTGGGAGGGGGCGCGCAGCGGGTCCGGGGCGTCGGTCGAGGGCGCAGGCTCCGCGCGGCTCCTGAGATACCGTTCCGGGCGCTGCTCCTCCGCTCCGCTCCGCTCCTCCCGGCTCCCGGCCGCGCTGCGCCGCTGCAAGGTCGGAACTCAGCCCCGTGGTTTCCGCGGCCGGGCGGAGGGGCGGGGCCTCGGGAGTGGGCGGGACCCAGGAGGCGAACCCTCCCTCAGAGAGTGGGTGGGATATCCTGCACCGGGGCAGCTAAGCCTCCCTGCGGGGCGGGGCCTCCTGGGGGCGGGGCCAGAGCTGGTCGCCTGCTCACCTGGGGTGAACTCTGCACCCCTCTGGGCCGCGGGTCCTGCGCACTGTGTGCTCCTCAGGCGAGGCCGCCGCTCGTCCGCTCATACTCCCTTCCCCACGGGAGGGAAATGGCCCCACCTGCTGGCTGCCTCGTCTTTTTTTTTTTTTTCGGGAGCTGGGGATCAAACTCAGGACCTTGAGCTTGCGAGGCAGGCGGCGGAACCACTGAGCTAAATCCCCGGTTCGGGCGGGCTGTTCTTTGTCGGGGTTTTTCTCCTGGAGCAGTAGCCGGTAAGTGTGGAGTGGGGGTAGGGGGTTATGATCCTCATACACCGCTCAACCATTCAGCAAGCATTTATCGAGCACCTACTATGCTCCATACACCATTTTAAGCATCTGAGAAGCTGGGCTTGGAGCGCTCCAGCAGTCCCAACTATGTGGGAGGCTGAGGCAGGAGGATCACTTGAGCCCAGGAGCACTGGCAACATAGTGAGACCCCAATCTCTTAGAAAAGAAGAGCACTGACATCTAACAATAAACCAAACAAGGGCCGGGGATTTAGCTCAGTGGTTCTGCCGCCTGCCTCACAAGCGCAAGGTCCCCAGTTTGATCCTCAGTGCCCAAAAAACCCCAAACAAGATCCCTGCCCTCCCGGAGTTGACATCCAGGGGGAGCTGGAGTAGAGCCTCCAGGCTGAGGACTGGCCAGGCGGGTCGGCCCATGCGCAGGCAGAGGCTCCTGGAGCTCTCCGAGTTTAAAACAGCTTCTGATTTAATTTTTTTTTCTTTTGCAGGGTAGGAACTTCTTGTAAAGATAGATGTACAAAAGGCAGCTAACCTAAACTGGGGATTTAGCTCAGTGGTTCCAGCTCCTGCCTTGCAAGCACAAGGTCCTAAGTTCGATCCCCGGTACCAAAAGAAAAAAATAAAAACAGACAAGAGAAAAGGCAGCTAAGATATGAGCTTGAAGATGGTTGCTATAGTGGCACCAGTCTGGAACTAAGCTAGATCCCCTTCCCCAGGGAGCTGGGAGATAATTAGAGAGCATCCCTTTGGGAGACTCCTCCGATGCAGGGAGAAAACACACAGGACAGAAAGTTACAGGAAGTGTGAGCGACCTCAGAAGTGGGAGCAAAATGGAACCATGTTACTGCTTGTGTAAAAACAAAGGCAAATAGAAAACTGTATAAGGTGGGACTGAAAAAGACAGTGAATATCTAAATTTTAAAAATGCAGTACAGGGCCCAGGGATTTAGCTCAGTGGTTCCACCGACTGCCTTGAAAGTGCAAGGTCCCAAGTTTGATCCCCGGTACCAAAAAAAAAAAAAAAGCAGCACAGAAAAAGACATGCTGTCATTCACTTCCTCAGACTCCTCCTCCTGGCTGCGAACCCAGGTAGCCCATCGCTCTTGCCACTTGCCAGGCATGTCAGTGTCCTCTTATGTGCCTTGATGTCCTGAGTCGATTAAAATGTTGATCTTTCTTGGTCTTTTTGACTTTGGGAAGATCTAGAAGTCGCAAGGTACCAGATCTGTTTTCTGGGTTTTGTTTTTTTTTTTTTTTTT